ACTAACCCCCCTCCCCCCTCCACCCCCCCGCATTCACCTTCCTCTACATCTTATCCACCAGTTCATCTTTCCTGCTCTGACGTCTGTTCTTTCTCTCCATTCTAGTGGTTGCAGTGGCACCCCTGCGCCCATGTACTGCTAGCGGGCACTGCAGATGGCAACACCTGGATGTGGAAGGTACCTAGTGGCGAGTGTAAAACTTTCCAAGGACCCAACTGCCCCGCCACCTGCGGCCAATTCCTTCCCGATGGTAAACTCTTGATTTTGTTTTCAACGAACTGAGATGGTTAACATTTTAAAGAGCCAGTACACCCAACATTTGTTATTTTTGTTCTGGCTGATTAAAGCTGAACTCCGGCCTCCCCTTCAGTCTTGCAGAGTTGTACCGGCTCCTCTCCTGGACTGAAATGGCTTTCTCTGATATCACTGCACGCTGTGAGCTCCTCACAATGTACATTGGAAGCTGCAGCAAGCCTGATTTTCTGGTGGGAGGACATGTAGCATTTTCTAGCTCTTTCCTCCCCAGCCTGACTGTCTTTGGCCCGCCCCCTTCATTCATTAGATTTCAATTCTTCCAATCATGGAGCCTCAGCATCACATGTGGGTGTTACCTCGGGTAGTCTGCATGGAAATACAGGCTGCCTAGGAATGCCCACTCCTCCAGACTGATACCCACCCATCAAGGAATTTTGGTATTGACATAACTCCTCCCAAGAGCCAGTTCCATATTAACATTGAAATCTGCCCTGTTTAACTTTTGTACTCCTGGAGGTCAGTGGTTGGTCACATTCATTTTTGTGTTCCACAGTAACTCTGCTTTTGTATTTACATCACAGGGAAGAAAGCCGTGGTGGGTTATGAAGATGGAAGCGTGCGGATATGGGATTTAAAACAGGGGAACACCATACATGTCCTGAAAGGTAAATCTGAACTCTTTGAACTCCGGCCTTCCCTTCAGTCTTGCACAGTTGTACCGCCTCCTCTACTGCAGTGCTCCACAACCTTTTTATCGCCGCGGACCGGTCAACGTTTGATAATTTTACCGCGGCCCGCTGGGGGGGGGGACGTTGATAGCTCCAGACGTCACCTAAATCCGCCCCGATATCACGATATTTTGCGCATGCGCGGTATTGGTGCGGCTTTAGGTGACGTCTCTCAGCTCCCGGTTAACCTCTCGTCCTGGAAAGTCGGACAAACCCGAGAGAAATACACCACAGTAAATAAAATGGAAATAATTTAATGTTCCTTGGGCGGCCCGGTACCATTTGATCCACGGAGCGGTACCGGTCCGCGGCCCGGGGGTTGGGGACCACTGCTCTACTGGACCGAAATTGCTTCCTCTGATGTCACCGCACACTGTGAACTTCTCATAATGTGCATTAGAAGCTGCAGCAAGTCAGATAGAACCCCGCCTCATTTCCTCGCTGCAGGACGTCCAGCAGCATCTAGCGCTTTCCTCCCCAGCGAAGGTAAAATATAAGCAGGTTACACGTCGGCTTTAAAGTACACCAGTGCTTTTTTTTTTCTTGCGGGCCGAAGCAACAGGTTCACTTTAGAGTCGGCCCTGGCATCTGCTTATACCCTAACCCTTTGTTCACATGGACGCCAAGCCTCATACCCGTCCTTCTGGGTAGGGATGCACCGATACTAGTATCAGTGCTAATGCCAAGTATTTGGGCGAGTACTTGTACTTGCCCAAATGCTCTAATGCCTAGCCCGATACTTGCGGTATCAGGAAGCCGGGCAGCGCGTCAAAACCCGCTGCCGGGCTTTCTGATTGGCCGAGAAGCCGGCTCCATGCTCTCTCGTCACTTGTGACGAGAGAGCATGGAGCCGGCTTCCCGGCCAATCAGAAAGCCGGGTTCCGCGTCATTACACAGCACCCGACTTCCTGATTGGCCAGAATCACCTAGTGACGAGAAGCATGGGGAAAGCTTCCCTGCTAATTGGGAAGCCAGGTGGCGAGTCTTTACACTCCGCCTGGCTTGCCGAATGGGACTTCCGGTATTCGGTATCGGCGAGTACAGAAAAAAAAATATCGGTACTCTATACTGAAATACCGGTATCGGTGCATCACTACTTCCGGGTATTGGGGAGCAGTTCCAAAGTTCTTAGGTTTCACGCTTCTTGAATATCGTCTTCTTATCCCCTCTATAGGCACAGATGGGCATTCCCGTCCTCTAACGTGCGTATCTTCTAATGCCGATGGAAGTCTCGTGCTCACGGGCTCTGTGGATTGCGATACAAAGTTGGTGAACACGGCCACTGGAAAGGTGAGGTGGCTTTTCTGCCCTCGTTCTAGATGTCACTAGACCACGGTGGCCTACCAGAGTGTGAAGCCATGTAGCGTTTAAAGTGATAGGGGGGAACTTATCAAAACTGGGGCAGATTTGCACTACAACCAATCAGCTTCTCTCTCTCATTTTCAACTCTTACCTGAGCAAACTGAATATAGAAGCTGATTGGTTGCCATGGGCAACTGCTCCAGTTTTGATCATTTAAAAAAACCTTAGGGGGGGGGGGGATTTTTATTTCAGATGCTGCTGAAATCACTTGCAATGGATGCTGCTTCTTGAGGTTCAGAAATGTTAGTTTCCTGCAGAATCAGCTGGCCCGCCCAGCTACTGGACCTGATCTCCTGTTTTAGGGTGGCTCCTTTCCCTTGCAGGGTCCTATGGAGCCACCCTTGAGTACGCTAGTAAGCTGTGTGATAATCCAGAAACACACAGGCACAGCAAGGCAAGACACTCTCTTTCCTCCCACTCCTCCAAGCTAGTAGAAAGACTGGCCTCCCTTGTGATTTTGTACTGGACAGTTTATTCATGGAAGTGGAGCTGAGAGAGTTGGAGCCAGCTATTCGGAAACATTGGGCAAAAATTTGAAGAAATACTTTGCTGGGCAGTTTTTAATCTCAATTCATTATTGTACAAAAGTTTGAGTTTAATACTACTCTAAAGGAGAATTATGAGGCGAGTGATTTTCACTCAGCCTCATAATCTGAGCCGACCTGTGACAATGAGACTATCACAGGTTGGCTCAGTAGATCGGGAAGTGAGCGAACACATACCGGCGCTCGCTCACTTCTCGATCATCTCCCTGCAGAGAACGGTGACTGTCACTCACGGCTCCCTGCAGGGATCCCCCCCTCCCCTGTCCGATCCTCCAGCGCTGACTGGCGGAACGGACGGGGGAGGGGTTGGGTACAGCTGGCTCTGCCTCTAGATAGGCAGAGCCAGCTGTCAATCACGCAGCTGGGCGGATCCAGACATAATTGTCGGGATCCGTTCCGGCTGCGTCGTCTCAGTATACCGCAAGCTGTAGCTCTCTATATACTGAGCTTTGGGTGACGGGAGGACGCTAGTTTATGTCCTCCCGTGACCCTTAGGAGAACTATGGGGAAAAGCCCTTACCCCATAGTTCTCCTTTTAATACTACGTTAACCCTTTTGCTTCGACCGCTGTAACAGCATTGATAGTACCGGCATGTAAACAAACTCCCGGCCACTATAGCAGCTGAGAGATTCTTTATATTTTTTTTTTCTCCTGGCCGCTTTTATATAGAAGCGCGTAAAGCCCGGTTGCTCTGGCTGGGGAAGCCGCAGGGCCAGCACCGTGCTTCAAATGAGCAAAATGGACATTTTTAACAAGCGTGAGGGAAAAAGAAATCAAAGCTCCGGTGGGTCAATTTTCCTTTTACACATTGAATTTGTCGTCTTTGCTGTGCAGGTGGTCGGATTATTCAAGACAGAAAGCAATGTATCCAAAGCCTCAAGGAGGGAAGATGGGGAGTCCGAGTCTAACTCAGTGGAGTCTCTAGGACTCTGCAATGTGTAAGTGTCATTATTTTTTATTAAAATATTTATCATATTTTTATAAGGTTAGTATTTTGTTCATACCAATGAATTTTCAGTAGTTTAGTAGGATTTTCAGGCTGAACGAGCAGAAAAATGTTCTTTTAAATATATTTCTCCATAGCCATAAAGGATATAAATCCACTTTGTGTGCACGAAATGCCTTTCAATGTCCGGATTTTACCACGTAAAAGTAGCAGTGACATCTTCACTGGGCTGCACATAACCTGTGCAGAGAGCAACGACAGGAGGGGGCGGAGACCAGACCAGTCAACCTGCGTAAGGAGAGAGAGCCGCAGTGACTGGTCTTTATTACGGGAGGGGGCGGAGACAAGACCAGTCACCCTGCACAAGGAGAGAGAGCAGCAGTGATTGGTCTTTATTACAGGAGGGGGCGGAGACAAGACCATTCACCCTGCACAAGGAGCGAGAGCAGCAGTGACCGGTCTTTATTACAGGAAGTTCCAAGTCTCACACTGGATTACTACACAGATCTGGAAGAAATACACAAAGCTCACCGAGATTCAGGAAGAACACACAGGACTCTGGTGTGAGGACAATATTTGCTTATTCTGGGTTCAGCTTTAATAAGCTTTGCCTATGTGAGCTTAGATACACATGGCCTTTTCTAGTGATGGAATAATTTATATTAAGGTGTATCTAAAAGTCCAAGAGCACAATTGTATCACATTGCAGCTTGCCCGTCCTATGTGGTGGCTGCATTCGTTTTCTCTTTTTCCCCTTTATTTCACCTGGTGATCCTGCCAGTAATATATTTCCTGTTCTAGGGTGACAACACTCTCCATACTGAATCTATGGAGGAGCAGCATTGTCACCCTGAGACCCCATTCACACTGAGCGACATGCAAATCGCGCGACTTTGAGCGACGTGTCGCGCGACATCGCCCTATTGGGCTGTATGCAATCAGGAGCAATATCGCTCAAAATCGCTCTAAAAAAGGGTCATGTAGAAGCGACAAGCTACCAGCGATAATGAGCGATATTGAGCGACGAGATGTGCACAGCTACATTGAAATGCATTGGTGAAGCTACATAGAGCGATATAGTGCGGAAATATGAGCGATATCGCTACAAAAATCGCGCGATAAATCGCTCAATGTGAACGGGGCCTAAAAGGAGAGGTGTTCTACAGTCTGCGGAGGTAGCTGGGAACAATGTAAGTGATAACAGTCAGCACAGGAAGTTATCGCTTCACAAGATTTCTGGCAGGATCAACAGTAACAAAACGTTTTTAATGGTATGTTTGACAATAAAAGTTAGTTCATTGTTGGGGTTACGTGCACTTTAAATGGGCCTTTAGTTGACTTGTGTTTTATATGTCGGTGTGAAGGGAATGCCTTGATTGGTTCCTGTGTGATGTCAGCCTGTCCGCTCAGTATGCTGGCTGGGTTCTGGTGTTGAGTGCTGCATGGCACCTGGAAGACTCATTCGAATCTCACACTCGGCATCCATTATAAGTTCCCTTGTATTTCCGTTTCATTGTATTTAGTTTTTCAATAGCTGATTTAATGTTTTCTTTTTCTTCCAGGTTGCCTCTGGCAGCAGTCGGCTACCTGGATGGAACTTTGGCAATTTACGATATATCAACGCAGACCTTGAGACACCGGTGTCAGCATGAGGTATGTAAGCTGAACAACCACCGACTTGTCCTTTGTTATGGAATAAGGACAGGCCTAAGGTAGGGAAGCACCGATTCCGGTGTTTCGGTATCAAGTACGAGTACCGATAATTTTTATTTCGGTACTTGCCAATACTGATACCGGAAGTCCCATTCAGGAAGCCAGGCGGCGTGTAATGACTCGCTACTTGGCTTCCTGATTAGCAGGGAAGCCGTCCCCATGTTTCTCGTCATGAGGTGAGAAGGGAGCATGAAGCCGGCTTCCCGACCAATTAGAAAGCCGGGCGTCGCGTTATTACACGCTGCCCGGCTTCCTGATACCGGAAGTATCGTGCTAGGCATCAGGAGCATTTGGGCGAGTACTTGTGACGAGAGCGCATGGAGCCGGCTTCCCGGCCAATCAGGAAGCCGGGCAGCGTGTAATAACGCGCTCCCCGACTTCCTGATACCGGAAGTATCGTGCTAGGCATCAGGAGCATTTGGGCGAGTACTCGGTAGCGATACTATCATCGGTATCGGTGCATCCCTAGCCTAAGGTGTTCCTATCATATAGATCTGAGGATGCTAGAAAGAAGGTGAACGGTCTAAATTCAAAATCTGAGCAATATCCTCCCACCGGAGCTCACATCCTTACTGGTTTACAAAGTCGGCTCGTTCCTTAACCGCTTGAAGACCAGGTGTTTAGACCACCTTCCTGACAAGGCCATTTTTCAGTGTTCAGTGCTGCGTTACTTTGACTGACATTTATTCCGTCATGCAACGCGGTACTGAAATTAATTTTATACAATTTTTTGGGGGACAGATAGAGCTTTCTTATGGTGGTATTTCATCACCTCTGGGGGGGGGGTTATTTTTTACTATATTCAGGAGAAATTACTGAAAATTTTGAAAAGTTTTTTTTTAACATTATGTTATAAAACAACTAATATTACCCAATTTTTTGGTAAAATATAAAAGACGGGGTCACGTCGGGTAAATAGACACCAAACATGTCAAGCTTAAAAATTGCGCACACTCGAAAAATCGCAAAAAACTACCATACCCAAAATTGGCCATAGGCGACGCTTTAAAAGCTTTTACCGCTCATCAGTTTAGTGTCATCAGTGATTGATGGCCCTAGAACTATTGCTCTCATTCCGACGTTCACGTCGATATGTAACATGTGCGGCGTAATGGGCGCAATCGTCGTTTTCGCAGGTATGCGCACCTGCGTGTGTGTAGTGGGGGGGGACTTTTAAAAAAAATTAGTTTTGTAACTTTAAAAAAATTTGGGGGGAAATCTTAAAAAAATGTTTCCTTTTTTTTTACCCCCCACTTTATTGCTATCACAGAGGGGGCTGAGAAACCCCTCTATGTGATAGCAAAAGAGGTGACAGGTCCTCTTTATGGAGACATCAGGGGTCTCCAAGACCCCTAATGTCACCTAGGACCCCCCTGAAGAAGCTGATGAAGCAAAGATCTGCTTCATCAGCTTCTCTGCAGCATCTGAAGCTGGAGA